ATTCAGTGATCCCTCCTTGGTTATATCATGGTGATGAAGAAGCACATGAACACAAACAGCTTCTCTTTCTGTACTTCTTCCACTTCGTGTCAGCTAACCTCGCACACGTTGCCCTGAAAGAAAAACATAAAGGGATGAAATTCACTGTGAGGCAATGTTTGACATTAACTGTTAATACCTTATCTCGGTGATCCTGTCCTTTGGAGGAAATTGATATACATATCAGAATGTATATCCCAGAATCAGAACAAAACTAGATAAATATGTTGTCCGTGACTGCGAGTAAAGGTAGGGCTCACGATAAAGAAAAAGAAAGAAGTGAGCTTTGCCTTTGTCTAAGATTAAAATTAGCTTCAAACATTAAGAAAATGTTAGTAATACTCATTACAGGTCCTTGTAGTGGTCTTAACATTTAGATTTGCTTTTCATGTATATTTGTATTGACACCAGTTTTATTAAGAATTTAATTGATATGTTTTGTTTGTTGATAACTTGTCGCATCTTATTGTGTTGATACTCAATTTCACTTCACAGTTTGAATACTAGCATGCAATTTGCATGAATGTAATGTCTTCGATATGCTGCTTAGTGTGAACCCAATGAGAATCAACAAGGGATCAAATTGTTAAGTGATATTGATAATGTATTCAGAATCACTACATTTTTATCAATTCCATCCCTACTGAAAACCCTACTGAAAAAGATTAAATTGAGATTATATGTTTTTACTTTCCTGTAAAACTGACAGTTGTTACTCTTTTTCTACTGTGCTTATATTTTAAGCACCATTTGGAAGCAGTCAGTATTTTCAAACACAAAAATAATTACACCCTAAAGTCACAAGAAAACATGGTAAATACTGGGACATTACATTTTAACAGGTAAGCTGCATTATGAAGTGCTGCCATGCTGTATAGTAACTGTATAGTCACACCATCAAAGTCTACTTTCCAGAGTGTACTCTTGTTCACACAGAGCTCATGTTGCTTATAAAATCATTATTGTGGGTGATTTTAAAATCCATGTAGATGGTAAAAATGACAGCCTCAACACAGCATTTTATCTGTTATTAGACTCAATTGGCTTCTCTCAAAATGTATAGATGTCTTTCTGAAAGTGCTGTCACTGATTTTTAAACTTTATAAATTATTGTAGGGTCTACCTTTCAACAAGTGCCTTGAGGTGACTGTTGTTGTGATTTGGCGCTGTATAAATAAAATGTAATTGAATTGAACGTCCCTAAGTATGAATAAAATGTTTACAAAGTTATGATACTGCAATGTAAAGTATGTTGTTAGTCAAGTCCTGATGAACTTTCCTTGAACTAAAGCAATGCCAAGCTGGTCCAAATCTTTACCGGAATGTTGGACTTAGCCGACTTAGTCCCTCACCCTCTATGAAATAATAAATTCTCCTCATTTTACTCACTCAATTTCATCCAGCTCTGATTTCATGGCTTCATAAGCTTCTTGTATGGCTCCAGCCTTTTCTCTCAGGTACCGACTGGCTTCTGTCTCATGGTTGTTCAGATTTTTACAGTTTTCGATGAGCTCAGGAACCGAAAACAGAAGTCCTACTGCCCCTCTGCCAATCTGAAAGTGAGCATTTAAGAATAAGAGCTCCAGGATTTACTGCACTGAGACTATTTTATATTGAAATGTTAGTTCACATCTGAGTATGTTGTTTAGTGCTCTGATTAGTGGTTCTGGAAACACAAACATACTCTGGTTTAGAATATTTCTTAACCCTGCCCATTGTAATGGCTGTCTGATACTCACTTTTCCAACTGCTGTAGTCGAAGCCTTTAAACCCAGGGAATTGGCTTTGCTGACCCTATAGTTCATGAGTTTTTCTGAGACCAACCTTGTAACAAAGTCTGAAAGCAGTGGCACCTCCGTTGTTGACTTTTTGAGGAGGTCTGATTCTGCGTCATTCTTAAAGATCTTCTCAAGAGGCAGCTGAGATAACAGCTTGATTAAACTGTCCTTCTCCTTTAATATCAAACCCTTGTGTTTAGCCATTGCTCTCAGGGTCGCCTCCTTCACATATTCTTCTGGAGAAACATTTTTACCCCGTTGCTTGCCTGTTGTTTTTGTTAAGAGGGACTCCATGAGTGCTGTGATTTCTGCTGTAAGATCATCAAGGCCTTTTGAAATATTTTTGGCCTCTTCCATAGTCCCACTTGATAAGACCGCACCAACAATATCAGAACCCACACTAGTAGCCAAACCGAGACCTGATGCCACTGCTCCTGTTCCAGCTAACAAAGGTATCGACAGTCCTCCTGTTAAAACACTTACTACACCTGCTACTGTCATGGCAGCTGCACCACCCACAGACACTGAGCTCCCGACAACTTTAGTGACATTAATAGTCTTCTGCTGTTCCTCCAACTCACTGGCTAGCTCGTTCAACTTGTCTATACTGTCCTTTTGTAGATCCATCCATGAGAAGATTTTATTCACGATCTTGTCTGCATCATCCATCTTGGTGTCACACCTACATCAGCAGCTCTATAAAAGGAAAACATAAGTACAATCAGAAATAAAATTCAAATATTTTGTGATAACAACATTTTTAAATTAATAACAGAATTGTAGAATTTCCAACATTTATGAAAATGTCATGTCAATTTTTTAATTTTAAAACATAATTACATTGTCAACCGATCACCACCTGTGTGAGTTAGATCAGGTGGTGGGGGAAGATGCTGGACAGACCTGGCACTCAGGCCAATAGGCTGCCAAGCAGAGCACACCGGCTACCTGAACGCTACTCCAACAGAGTTCCATCTATCCATCCATCATCTTCCGATGGATGGATGGCCCTTACCCAGGGTCGTTTCGCAGGGGCAGCAGCACTAAGCAAAAACGCCCAGACCTCCTTCTCCCCAGCCACCTCCTCCAGCTTGTTTGGGAGAATACTAAGGCCAGCCAAGAGATATAATCTCTCCAGCATGTGGGACATGCCCGGAACACCTCACCCAAGAGTTGCCCATGAGGCATTCTTGTCAGATGCCCAAAGCACCTCAACTGGCTCCTTTTGATGTGGAGGAGCAACAGCTCTACTCTGAGCCCCTCAAGGATTGCTGAACCTCTCACCTTATCTCTAAGGGAGAGGCCAGCCACCCTTCGGAGGAAGCTCATTTCTTGTATCCGTGATCTAATTCTTTTCAGTCACTTCCCACAGTTCGTGACCATAGGTGAGGGTAGGGACGTAGATTGACCGGTAAATTAAAGAGAGCTTTGTTTTACAATCAGCTCTCTTCACCATGACAGACTAGTACAGCGTCCACAGCACCAATCCGCCTGTCAATCTCCAGCTCCCTTCTCTCATCACTCATGAACAAGACCCCAAGATACCGTGGGGTGCAAAAGTTTGGGCAACCTTGTTAATAGTCATTATTTTCCTGTATAAATGATTGGTTGTTACAATAAAAAATAAAAAAATAAAAAAAAGTCAGTTAAATATATCATATAGGAGACACACGGTGATATTTGAGAAGTGTAATGAAGTTTATTGGATTTACAGAAAGTGTGCAATAATTGTTTAACCCTTTAAGACCTATCATAGAACCAAGTCCGCCAGAGCTTATATTATATTTTTACATGGTGTGGTGCCATTTTTGGGAGCATTTCAAGTTGCTATACATCAATACAACAATTATAGCCCAGATTTTAATAATATGTATTCATTAAGTGCATAGTAATTACATAAATTGCAAAAAAGTGCAATAAACTACAAAAAAATTGAAAATCGTTTTTGATTTTTTAACATATATTTCTAGTTAGAGAAATTTAAGAGGCTTATCCCTCAAAACTGTAAATACCAAAAAGTTGCACAAAATAGTTTCCCAACACAGGAAATTTATTTTGAGTGTCTTCATAGTTTTATTTTTGAAATACACCAATTTTTATACACTGCAGGAAAAACGAAAATAAATATTATAGTGCAAATTTGCAAAAAAGCAGCATATGCATCAAAATAAACTATTTCCAGCAGTGCAATATGAGTCCTAAGCATCCCAGAAACGACACAGAAAGTCATAAAGTCAAACATAACTTTTAAAAAGACGAGTATAGGCCCTGATGGTAAAAAAAAAAAAAAAAGACTACATTTCCGCAAAAATGACATCACTTCCGGTTTCGGTCAGGTAATGGCGGACATGCAAAAGTTCGCGCTGACGTCTATTCCAACATAGGAAGTGTTATGAACAGCTGATCGGATCGGCAAAGCGTGTTTCTGGAATATTATGTTTTTGTTCCTGCAAGTGCTTTTTATGCAGTTTTTGCAAAGCTTTATGTGGAAGGAAACCGTGACCTAGGACAAGCTGATGGCATAAAATGTAAGTACAACTCCTCCGGTTTCATATGCAAAATAAATTATTGCGCTAGCTTACGTGGTTGCAGAGCTACCGGGATTTAAAATAGTTACGTAAAACAGAGCGTGCCCGCTCCGACCGGCTCTAAAGGGTTAAACAAAATCAGGCAGGTGCATAAATTTGGGCACTGTTGTCATTTTATTGATTCCAAAACCTTTAGAACTAATTATTGGAACTCAAAATGGCTTGGTAAGCTCAGTGACCCCTGACCTACACACACAAGTGAATCCAATAATGAGAAAGAGTATTTAAGGGCGTCAACTGTAAGTTTCCCTCCTGTTTTAATTTTCTCTGAATAGTAGCAACATGGGGGTCTCAAAACAACTTTCAAATGACCTGAAGACAAAGATTGATCACCATCATGGTTCAGGGGAAGGATACAGAAAGCTATCTCAGAGAATTAAGCTGTCAGTTTCCACAGTTAGGAACACATTGAGAAAATGGAAGACCACAGCCTCATTTCAAGTTAAGGCTCGAAATGGCAGACCAAGAAAAATCTCGGATAGACAGAAGCGACGAATGGTGAGAACAGTCAGAGTCAACCCACAGACCAGCACCAAAGACCTACAACATCATCTTGCAGAAGATTGAGTCACTGTGCATCGTTCAACCATTCGGCACACTTTACACAAGGAGATGCTGTATGCAAGAAAAACACCTGCTACCTACAGTGAAATATGGTTGTGGTTCCATCATGCTGTGGGGTTGTGTGGCCAGTGCAGGGACTGGGAATCTTGTCAAAGTTGAGGGACACATGGATTCCACTCAGTATCAGCAGATTCTGGAGACCAATGTCCAGGAATCAGTGACAAAGCTGAAGCTGCGCCAGGGCTGGATCTTTCAACAAGACTATGACCCGAAACGCTGCTCATAATCCACTAAGGCATTCATGCAGAGGAACAAGTACAATGTTCTGGAACGGCCATCTCAGTCCCCAGTAGGGATGGGTACCGGTATCCGGTGCCATGATGGCAAACGGTAGTAACCAGACCGAAAAGCAATGCACATTTCGGTGCTTTATTTCAGTGATTTTTTTTTCCTTAGCTGTGATACACTTTAGATTCTAGCCAATCATTTTACGTTTCCGAGGATAGTAGGCAGGTCCAGGTACATACGTTCTTTTAGAGCAGAGCTACAGATTCAAAATGCCCAAAGCGAAGCGGTCAAAAGTTTGGCTGTACTTCACAGCAAAATATGCAAACTCAACAGCCTGCAACAAGTGCTTTAAGCTGATACTGTGATACTGTCAAAGGAGCTAACACCTCAAATCCGATGAAACACCTGGCGACGCATAGCTTTTCTTTTGTCGTTTTTTTTTTTTTAAAAGCCGAGAATTGCGCCGTATTTGATAGCTTGCTGCGAGACCTCACACCGTGCACTTCTACTGCGGGTGGGTTGCCTGTTATCGGACCTGGAGTTGGCAACATCCCCCAAAAACCCAAAGAGGAGAGTCCTGGCCCCTAGCCCTGCAAGTGTAGCGGAAATGATGACGGATGATGATGGTAGCAGCAGCCGTTCTTCTGTGGGTCAGTAGCTTAATGTTGTTCGTGTGTAATTTACGTTGAGTAGGTTAACCCTCTGGGGTCGCCGGACGCGCTGGCGCGTCAAAAATCACATGACCAATTTAAGACGACACAGCTACAAGATGCAGCGATTCAGAGTCTCCGTTTCAGCTTGGGTCGAAAGTGCGGACTTCAAACTACATACCAGTTTTTGAATTGTGTCGATGGGCCACGTAAAACCAGAGTTATGATAAAAAAATACATGCAATGTTTTTTTCTGAACAAAACAGTGGTGTTTACAGCGGGAAAAAAACGGGAAGAACGGTAAAACGGCCTTTTCGACAGACAGCGCTAGCAAACACCCCTTCCCTATTGGTGTTAGAGTTTACCATGCCAGCCAATCAAAAAAAATATATGGCAATATGTGGCACTTGGTTGTTTAGGGAGAAGGGGAAGTTTTTAGGAGTGACACCCGTGACAGAAAGTGGGCGAGCGAAAGAAAGAGCAAGTTTTCATATGTGAGACATTAGTCACTAATGTTTGGAGGCTATAGTTAGTTTGTTGTGTAGTTATTGTGTTGTATTGTGTGTCAGTTATACTGCTGAATTTCACATTTTGAGGCCTTGGCTGCATTTTTAGGTAAATAGTACCATATAATTTTGTTGTTTGCAAAACTTGTGCATAAATTTTAGAAATATACAATTTCTATTTGCATTTCAAGTTATGAAAGTGATTCGTTAAACATGTTTGTGGGTTTTACAGTAAGAAATATAACTTTTTTCTACTCTGATTTTGAATTTTGTCTTAATTTAGATCAACTGTGCTAATATAGTATACTAAAATGAAAAAATAATTCAAATTTCAGATATTTGAGGTTGTGGTGAAAATAATGATACCAAACAAGGCAAGAAAAACATATTTTAAAGGTGAAATATAGAGGTAAAATAAAAGTAATCAAAAATGGCCAATTATACCCTGGACCCCAGAGGGTTAACCACGTTATTACATTAATGCATGTAAGGTGAACTAGCAAACACCATTGTAGTTACATGCGGCTGTCTTGTTTGATGGCAGGTACTCCCTTCACCCTGGCCAAAAAGGCTAAAATGACCAAAAAAAGTCATTAAAGAGCTGACAGAATTAGAAAAATACGGCTGATAAAATGTAAGGCAAAGCATTGGGATGGTCGATGGTACTTTCAATGAATTGTCAAATTGGTTGGTACTTGGCTTAGACAAAGTATTGTTAAAGGTGATGGTATGTGGATAAGATATATAATAAAGTCAGATGTCTGACAGATTTCAAGTAACAAATCAAATGGATATTGAAACTGGCACACTGGGGTATGATAGCAATATAGATCCTAACTGTCATTTTTTTTACCAAAATGTTAAAGGACTGTAATTATTATACAATGGAACAATTTAATAGGAACCTAGAGCCTGGTAAGAATATAACCATGGTTCATTTCAATAGTAGAAGTCTATATGCAAACTTTCAATTTATTAAAGAATATATAGCACAGTTTAAATCAACCATTTGGTGTGATAGCAATATCAGAGACTTTGATAAACACTGGAAAAGAAGAGGATTTTGAGAGAGAGATATGAATTCCTCCACTTAGAT